CAAAGTATAATATCGGTGGTAGCTTGATATCGAATAAGTGAGATGTGATCTTGCCTTTGAACCTGGCTAGATGCGTCTCCAAATGAGTCAGAGATTTGGAGTGGTAGCCGAACACATTCCAGGCAGAGTGTCATCATCGTCTTTCCCGTCATCAAAAGGGCGATTCCCAGAGTTTTCCGCTGTAAGACTGGGAGGGAATTCGAAGCTCTGCGCCCCGTAGATGATTGAAGGTCAGGGACACAGCCGCATTTGCAGGATTGGAAGACCAGGTGAGCCTGGCACGTTATGCGCCCCGGGGACGACCGCTAGATCAGAACGACAATCAGCTGAATTCCACTGCATGCCAGACCGGCACCTGATCGGCTGGCTACTTGATGGCCATTCGAGGAAGCTCTGAACGAATGGTATGATGTTCACAATGTCCCTTGGGCACAGAGAACCCACTGGGTAGCTCTAGCACGTTACAGGGACCAATGCAGAAGTCATAGTACAGAGCGAGTGACCCGATAGGAGCATAGGCAGCTAGTTCCGGGAATAAAGTCTTGAAAATTCATAACTGCATTTCCACCGACAAGCTGTACTGAAAAGCAGCGACAGCTTGTGAGCAGGCTCTACGGCACCCAGCTCGCTTATTCTGCCGTACGGCTACGGAGAATTTAATTCGACGCTCACTGATGTGTACGCTATGCAATCATCAGTAAACCTGCAAAAAATGCATAATTGCCCTTACTGATGATTTATGGTCAAGCAAAAAATACTCTCTTAATCAAAATTATAATTAAAAATAATGGGGGAAGAAGCAGTAGGCCGGTAGTTTGGCTAAGAACTCTAGGGATGAGGATCCGCAGTTCACAACGTTTCTGAACGGGACGGGTGAAGGCTAAGTGATCTGATGGAACATACGGGTGTGTGGCAAGAGAATCGTAATTCGTCCCCACGCTCGTCGGTGAGACTCGCGCCGTAATAAGGATGATTTTATGTGATATTATCGTAATAGACAATTTATGACCGAAATTAGGCATAAATTGGGTACCAATTCTTTTACATAAATCCGATGCTCCAATTGAAAGCGTAGTGGCAATTTAAGAAAATCCGGCGTGCCATTGCGTCGCACGCGCACGACGCGTGCAATTATCGATATCTTGCCCCGTCTGCCTGAAACACGCCGAAAAACTGCTTTACAGTCTTGCTCGGCTGCAACAGCGCTGTGGCGTTTCAGGCTAGGCTTTGCCGCGGCGGCCAATTGTGGAATTACAGGGACCCATTCCCCCCCCCTCTCGACGGTCCCTTACACTCGCAGCGACTAAAACTGTCGGCACGTCGGTTACATCGGTCGATAGAAATGTGGCTTCGGGGACATGAACAACAAGTGTAAGAGTGTGAGAGTCGTCAGATATTGTGCCTATGTTTGTTACATTTTACTACAGAGTAACAGTTTTAGCTGTAAGCTGAGGTGGGGTGCTATGTGATGAGAAAATGACGAAAAAGCGAAGTGAAACGGTCAAATACCTGCGAAAAAAATTTTCTTTTGCACGATTCAGAAAGCACTTTCGGACGAGTTTCCCGTTGGCATCATTTCAATCAACCGCGCCGTATGTACGGCTGCAGCGTGATTACTCATATATTATATCCATGAGACGCGCAACGCTGCACATCAATCCTTCGCTCATATTCTACTTCGCTAATAATGATCGAGGCGATCAGCATCAATTCGACTATTCGTGGGCGAGCGGAACGCAGTATGTCCAGCTCTACGGGTCGGCATAACGTTACGTTTCCTTGGGAAAGCGCCACGTAGCGCGCCTCTGAGTGCGGCTGAATCCTGTCCTGCTAACGTATTGAATGCCTGACAGTCTTGGCATTTACTCGTGCCACCTCGGCCTTTAAAGATACACACCCTGACGAACTGGCCTATGCGGCCATTGCCGAGGAGGACTCGTTTGGCCTCTGTCAGGAATCAAACCTGGACTGCACGCTTACCGGGATAGTGAGCCTGCCACTCTACACCACGTCCACCTTCCCTCCCTTCGATTGAATGACCTTTATGCTAGTGCTGGTTTGTTGTTATGTTTATTCAATGATAAGCCAGGAAAACGTTTATTCGACAAGCACACTCAAAAATATCCTTGCACCGTCGACAGCCACTGTCTCGATCGCTGAAGAAAGAAGGAGATTATAACGTTGTCACTGAAGTTAGTCGGGGGCGTGTCAGCGGCACACAGGTCTTGCCAGCATCAGTCCCTTCCTCACCATTGAAGCGGCAACGATCAAGGAAAGCGGCCTGCGCCACATCCAATAAGCCAAAATCGACGCGCTGCTGACACTCCCTGACTGCTGATGGCTGAACGGAGTGGAAAGAAGGTCAGTAGGTCGCATCCCAATGGACTATATACTCACATACAAATAAAATTAATCTTTCTTCTCCTCCTTTTTCTCCTCTTTCTTCTCATCCTTCTTTTCATCTTTTTTCTCTTCTTTCTTTTCATCCTTCTTCTCGTCCTTCTTCTCCTCTTCTTTCTTGTCTCCGGATTTCTCTTCCTTTGAAAAAGATTGCATCATCACGGGGCATTTTATGCTGAACGACAACGAGGACTACCTTCTTTTCTCCATCAGCTGGCTCAAAGACGGCAATAATGCGTGCAACACCTTCAGGTTTCGAATCCGGAGTCCATACCTAAAGAGATGCCGCACTATAGACAGGCACGAAGAAAAGAAGTACTTTTGCCAAGTAAGACCACTTGACCGGCTGTTTTCCGTGTCATCGGTACACTTTCATGTGATTATACTGCGGAAAAAGTCGGGCATTGCTTTCTGTGAGTTTTGCATGTCAAAACAATCTGAAATCGACCGGTCGTCCTGCTGATTTCAAAACACGTTTCCGTGATAAACGGATGTACGGAAAAGAGGTGGAGATAGCCGCTGTGCGTCGCCCCCTATTAGTTCCTTCTCTTCATCGCATTAGAGGGACGAGAGCATCACTGACGATGGTACACGGTCCCCTTTTCTAGTTTGTGTTATCGTTCCCACTTTCGATAGGACTGATATCGCCGCATCAGTAGGGGTGGTGTCAGAAGCCTTGGAATGAGTTTATAGTGTAGTTCGCTGCGGACGGTTGGGCGTGTCAGGCGGGATGAGTTTGGCGCGGTGCCAAACCCGTTCTCCACCAGTTGTTAAAGCGAGCAAGTGATATGACTGTATCATATCGTTCGTATTACTCGTTTTCTACCACTTTTTGTCGCATGCGCGCTTCAACAAGAAGGCAGAGAACGGCTTTGACGGGGTGACACACTCATACTGCCTGACACGCCCAACCGTCCGCAGCGAACTAGAGTGTACCTTTTCTACCAATAATTATCATCGTGAAGATAAGAGCTTCGGTAAAGAACGCTGCGGGCGGACGCATTCCAGGCCCTCTGACACCGCCCCGATTGAATGTGACGATATCCACTATATGCGCTCCGACAAGACGGGACTAGTTGGGATTGTAAAAATAGTTTTTGTTCAATTACCTTTGCTACCTACCTTTACCACTGCTGTTTCATCAGGTTTTACGAACGAGAGCGGCGGTCGAACTCGGAAGATATCATTATCCGTGCATTTGACCTGAAAGTTCAAATTCATTTCAGTGAAGGCCGATCTCTTGAGCAGTGCTCCGCAGAGAAGAGCTGCGACCTGCTCTTCAGCAGTTACTCCTAATAGCACCCCAGTCTCAACCAGGAGATACAGGTTGCGAGCCCGCTTAAAAGCCAGGCAAGCCAGGAAGGGTACAGCAGAATCGTTGAGAGAATCCCATCGAGGGGGTCGTACAGTTGCTGGGGTGCGAGTAGTCCAGAGGAGGGAATTCGGGTAGTGGAGGGGTGGTATTACTCAACTACCGTACGTACCCTGCAGCCAGGTCACCACTGTTTGGGCCATGTTATGAGTCAGTTCCTTTGCATTGCGCGCTATCCACCTCTTGATCGACACCCCCGTAGTGCGTTTGAACTAGGTTACTTAGGCTCACCTTAAACGTTTGTCGATCTTTTGTGGTATTCGTGATTTTCAATTCGATAGTGCATGGCTCATTCACCTTGTACTTGAAGACTAACTTCGTGTCAGGATCAACCTATGAGCGATTACATCAGAACAACCACTTTCTCGTGAGTGAGAAGATCTGAGTTGCGGCGTTCGCATGAGGACCGTTACGAGCTTGGTGCGAAAGCGATACAGTCATCCTCTAGCTCACAAACATCGCCCTCAAGCTAAGCTTTTGCTATCGCCAAAGCTCGTCCAGCTTGAATCTCTTGTCCCGCACTCTTGTACAATACTTGGAACAAACCTTCAATTGAAATGGTGGCTCTCCCGGTTTATTACCGAGTGGTTTCGACATATCTGCAACGAAATCCGAGAGTCACTACAAAGTACGTCAAAGAGTTGCTTTCAAACTGACCTTAGAAAATGTCCACCTTCTGCGTCTTCAATAAGCTAATAACGACCTACCAAACCATTCTTCAGCTGATATATCGACATAAGTCAGTCTTATCATTATCAGATGAGGCTATCTGCTTACGTTAGAAGCATGACAGTTTCGTTTCAAAACAAAATATGCTGAATCATTCGTGTGAAGGCGCGTTCATACACATTATTCAAGGGAAAACGGATATCGCTAAATGACTTTCCAGGGGAGAAGAAAGCGAAAATAACCCTGGAGAACGCCCTGAAAAAGGAACTGAAGCCTTCTCTGGACGAGTTCTTCAGAGCTGTCATGCCAGGCAAAGCGATATGTTGCCGCCTCTTGCGTCACCGATCGCTTCCTTGCGCATCTAAGCAATACCATCTTATAGTTGTAAGTTCATTGCTGGACGGTTTGGCGTGTTCGTTGCGGCTGCATTAGCGCGGCTGCAAACTCGTTCTCCACGAGTTGTTCAAGCGAGAAAATGACAATACTGTATCATACCTTTCGTATTACTTGTTTTCTACTGCTTTTTGTCGCATGCCCGTTTCAACAAGAAGGCAGAGAACAGCTCAAAGAGGGTGACACACTCATACTGGCTGACACGCCCAACCGTCCGCAGCGAAGTAGAGTGTAACTGTGAGGAAAAAAAAACGAAAACACGACGCGAAAATTTAACAGGTGACAAAAATAGCCTTCGAACTTTAAGGGGGGAGGAAACTGGGAAGGCGTCAGAACTGCCACTCATGAGGTTCGCAAGGTTTCGCTACTTCCTGTGAGGCCGCAGAGAGGGAGAAACTTGGAGGACTGGGGCCAGATTATTAGAATTACTAGTATAAGGAAGGATGCCTACAAACTGCTTGAGCGTGGACACTGACTTTGAAGGAAGTGGGCAGAGGACTTTACACTTTTGCTTGTTGGCTAGTTCCTGTAAAATTAGACGTCTCACCCTTATAATACCTGTAGACTATTGCCAAGTGTAAAGGAAGCTCTTATTATTGCATAACCTTACAAAAGTTAACAGGTTCTCCACTGGAGGTAACGGCTGTGATTGATGGAAACCAGCCAAATGCCCCCACCAAGCCGAACTGCGCTTGTTCAGCAAGGAACTGAATCCGCGACCCGAGTGTCTCTGAGCGAAAAGACCTTCAAATCTTCGTAGCATGTTGAATATTTGATTAGGAATCCAACGACTGAATCCTCCACCATTTTCATGAAGGAGAATCCACACGAACGCTACCCGATAGATGTCCGATAAGCAATATTATGTACACTTACAATTTGAATAAATGAGTACTGTAGAATTCTTCTGTGGAAACTCTTCGCGAGGTTGATATACCAGTTTATTCGGCTTACGCACGTTTCGGCGAGACCGCCTTCATCAGAGCCTGAAAGGACCGAAACGATGAAACGAACGAAAATGATCGGATAGTCGCAAATCGTTTCGGTCCTTTCAGGCTCTGATGAAGGCGGTCTCGCCGAAACGTGCGTAAGCCGAATAAACTGCTGTATCAACCTCGCGAAGAGTTTCCACAGAAGAATTTCTACAGTACTACAACGATGCCGAGGTTTATTGAGAGCCGTACTTGGCGACTTCTGAATGAATGAGTTTTCTATAATGCTGAGTTCATCGTGAGGAACACTTGGCGCAATGTTGAATATTTATTAGTGTAATAGACATCTCCCCTGAATAACTGGTAACCCGAATTTACAACTAGCGATTATCTATGGGAATATGCCTAATCGATCGATTCCTATCTGTTCCATCTGAGCGACTAGCGAGATAGGCAATTGCGACAGTGCATCGCAGCATTGCCCAGTATTCGTTTGAATCGGCGTTTCATTGTTATAAGCAGTTATCCCTCGAAACTGGCACTCCTTGAAAACTCGCGTATTTCTGGAGAAACGTCGAGGTACGTCACTTTCTGAAACGAGCCCATTCAGCAACAACAAAGGTTAGGTTTGAATTGAATCCCATTCATACCTTCTTGAACCATCCTTTTTGTAGACACTGTTCGGCTGTGGGTCTCCGTGACGCCTCTAGTGCCAGCACCTAGAGCATTACGAGTTTTGACTAAGCAAAAAATTTTCGATAGTGAGTAAGAGATCTGAACAGCGGCGACAAGGGCCTAATGGCGCTATGTATGTGCGCGGCATTCGTTCCACTGATTGGTTTGACGCAAACATCTTACAGTAAACCGTGTCAGTCAGCACCGAGAAAGCTGTATGGAAGTTGTCTGGATCCCGTGAACTTGGAAACCCGCACCACATTTTTGAGCTGCTACGGAATTAGATCCAAGCAAAGATATCCCAGGGTCCACTGACCTATGAGATATTCTTCTACTAGCAATTGAGCTTCAGAAATGCGATCACTGTTATACTAGTGGCCAACAAACGTGCTCCAAGCCTGGGTAATTGAACCGGTTCACGGTATTCTCAGTTTTGTAATTTCACGGATCTGACCC